AAATCTCCACAAAACCCCTTCTGATAATACATGTATAAGGTATTAATTCGAGTTCTGGATCAATACTGGTCTTATGTGTTTGTTTATAGTGTTGAATAGGATATATTCCATGTAAAATCATTGCAAAATTTTAGACCTATACCTCTATGAAATTGGAATCTGTAATATACATTTTAAAATGAAATGAACTTGTGAGATATACTTTTTTATCAAGTATTTCATACGTGTACAAGTAAAGTCAATGGGGATAATACATGGAAAATACTAATATTAATATTAAGAATCAGTTATTATTAAACTAATTAATAGATCCATCTTTATTTCAAAATAATATAAATTGATTGTGAACATTTTTCTTTGTTATTGTATGACAGATTAACTGAAGAATATTTACAGTTTAAGTCTACCAATTATATGCAGACATTTTATGTGAACTCACTTGGTATCGTTTACTTGAATCTACCATCATCATTGTTGTTTAAAAATGCAATTGATTAATCTCTTATTGGCATATGTGTATACTGTGCGTATTGCCTCAATATTGCCTTAATTCACAAACATTGTAAGCAAAGATGGATAGTGGCTAGCAGTGGATTTCAGTTTGACCCGCGTTCCTTCTTAGTTGGGACTCGTTAGCTGGATATACCAGCATCTCAGAGTTGATGTTCACGAAGTGAATTTAAACTTCACCCAGTTGCACAAACAATTAGCTACCAGGACTTAGTAGGTGAGTGCATAACGTGATGGTGTTTGAAGCGGATGGTACCGGTTTCGAGTCTCAGGGTGACAACAATCAAATATACATGAGTACAAAATTACAGAATCTCTCAATAAAATCTGAGAACCATACAGTAAATACTACATTTGCAAAATATCCACCAAATGTCTCAGATTTCATTGTTCCTTCATTTCCATAACAATCACTTTCTGTTTTTGTTCTCTTCTCATCGATCTTCTCAACCTTCTGTCACTGGACATTCCACTTCCTATCGGTGATACATACTTATATGCCAACATCAGTAGCGTATACCACTCTAGGCATACCGAATGTAGCATTTTATTGAGGGCCTCTTTTGTAAACTTTCATATTTACAAATAGACAATGATAAATCTGGATTGGTATTTATAAGCTATAGCTATTTTAGAATAATTATATACGTGTTTATATGCCACTCACTAAAGTGGCATTGATTAGCATATAGTACTACAAATGTAAATGGTATTTCAGTAGTAAATTAGAATCATCAGTATTTAATTAACAAGTTTTGTTTTAACCACTTTTATGCTTACATGTTAATTGTTTATAATTTAAAGTCATGTATACCCTTTTATTGTTTTGTATTTACCGTACAGAATAGGACGGAGATGTTTACAACTATTAGTGATGATGATAATACTAATGATATTCAAAATAACAATACAAAGATAAGTAAATATACCCAATGACTGACTCAGCATATTGTGTTAACATTCGCTAGTGTATGTTACAGTTTTACCTACTGATATTATAGAAAAAAAGGCAATAAATAAATATCAACAACAGATAAGTATATCCATGTTTATAGTAACTTCTTTAAAAACCTAATAAAACTTATTCATTATCATATTTGTTCATTAAAACGATTGTCTATGTAATGTAGTAGAGTATATATGACCTATGTAAGTTATATACGAAAAACAAAGATTGACATATACATTTTAGGACAAATACATAATGAAACACAAATTTATCCTAAAGTTAATCAAATTAAATGTATGTACTGATATTTAGGTAGATAATCTATTTCTTATTGAGAATGAATCGTTATTATTGTGTAGTTGTAAATAAATCCTCAAAATCAATAGCTCTGTAAGTGTTCGACATTGGATGCTGACCACATTCGTTTCAATGGACTCATTTAGCTGAAGGCACTCAGTCATGCATCCGTACCAGATCAAGGTTTGAAACGGCGTGAGCGATATCTCCTGCGATCACTAGCCAGATTAGATCAGTCACTCCTCGATATATTGATAATCTATCGAATATATCTTTCAACTTTTAATCATTACTTCCCAACATGAAAATACACATTGATCTTGACTATGGTTATTTATACACTTTGTATCCCTATTCTTCTGATTATTATGATTCTGGTTACGTTTCGAAAATTTATAACTGCGCTTATAAAACTTATAGGGTTACTGGCAGTTCCAAGGCTAGGTAAAGGAGGAGGGTCGGGTACGATGTCAGCAACCACACTGTATACAAAACGATATTCCTAAAAAAACACCAGCCAGAATAAACAAATTAACTCTGTCCTGTGAGTAAAAGGATCTTGATTCAGAAGAATTATGGCACTTCACTCTGAAGGCCGAGATTCTTTGAAAGTCATGAGGCCGATGTCCAACTTCGAGATCAGCAGGCGGGATTCCGTAGGAAAAGATCATACATAGACCAAATCGCGACACTTTGGATCATTCATTAGCAATCAATTGAATGGAAGTCGTCACTATACATCAAATTCATTAACTACAAAAGAAGCATGCAATGATGTGGACGACAAAACCCCATGGAATTTTCTTCGACAATATGATGTACATGAGGAAATCATCAACATCCTACGGAATTCATACGACGGACAACACTGTAAAGTCATGAATGGAGGAAAGCTGACACAAGCATTCAAAGTGAGAGTAAAACAAAGCTGTCTACTCTACCATTTCTATTTCTTTTGGTGGTTGGCTGGATTATGAAGACCTCTGGAAGAGGTGCAATCTTTCATGTCGCTGGACACCATCAAGGATGTACATAGAGGATCCGATTAAGACGTAAATACAATCGTTGGAAAAGCAAGGGTGGCATTCTAACAGTTAAAAAGCAAATGGAACTCAAAAAACTGTCAGATAACATCGAAGTCAGGATCTTCAATACGAACGTCAAGACAGTCCTACTGTACGGAGCTCAAACTTCCAGAACTACTACAACCATCACCAATAAGGTATAAGTATTTATAAACAATTGTCTACGCATGATGCTCAATATCCGTTGACCGGAAATTAGCAGCAACAGTCTACTGTGGGAGAGAACAAACCAGCTCCCAACTGAAGAGGAAATTAGGAAGAGACGCTGAAAGTGGACAAGACATACATTTCGGAAATCATCAGACTGGAATCCTGAAGGGAAACGGAAAAGAGGAAGGTCGAAGAATACACTACGTCGAGAATCGGAAACAGACATGAAAAGGATGAATTGCAACTGGAACGAACTGGAAAGGATTGTCCAGGACAGGGTTGGATGGAGAATGTTGGTGGGCGGCCTATGCTCCTCCACGAAATGTAACAGGCATAAGTAAGTGGGTTAATCGAATATTTATCTAAACTTCACAAATTAAAGTATGTCAAATATTTGTTAACAATTATGTTTATACTTATAATTGTATTTTTAAGTTTTATTTAGCTGAGAGGAAGCCATAAAATACAATGAATTCATTCTTGGCCTGTTTAAATGATAAACCAGTTGATTTTCATCGAATGGTCTGTTACTAGATGTCAATATGGAAACGATGTATACAGTCAATGAGGAAGGAAAGAAAACAAACTACGATACTTACATTAAACCGAAAATCGAAGTCGTGAATAATACTTATAGTTAATGACATTATCAATGGTGGATTAACATTGATCGGTTTATGATTTCAATATCAATGACACTGTTAGTTCGACAGTCTTCCAAATAGATAGGTTATCTTTAATAATCAGTTGTATTCCAGGTAATCAAGTAAAATAGTTACCTAGGATTACTTAGTAAACTAAAACTAGAAAATTAACAATAAAAAGTCTTTTTACTGTATAGGGTTATGCAGATTGTTGAGTTTTTATTGAGATCATGAACTGACCAACGTTAAGAAAACTACTGAATATCTGAAAGCACTGAACGGTCGTTTCGTTCTAATATAAAACTCCTCAGAAGTGCACATCTATGACCTCTCACACAGGGCACGAACCCAGGACCTTTGGTCTTGCACTGAATTTTAACCTCTAAACCACTGAATTAGCATCCAACTGTGTTAATTTCTAAATCCAACCGATCCACATTGATCAGTTCATTATCTCGATTACAACCCTTTTTACCCATATACATCAATATAATTGAAGAAACAATCATTTTTATTTGAGAATTCTACAATTTTACACTCTTACATGGCATAGATTTCTTTATATCATGAATAAAATATAAGAGGAATTATATAGTTGAAATCATGAGTTACTTTAAGCTAGACCATCATGGAAGACCTAGAAGCACTGGACGGCCGTTTCGTCCTATTGTGGAACTCCTCAGCAGTGCGAATCCACGATCCCGCACTCGCGAGATTCGGACCCAGGACCTACCAGTCTCGCACCAGAGCACTTAAGCGATAGACTATTGAGCTGGCATCCAACGGTGTTAATGTCTAACTTCAACCAACAGCCATCCAGCGCTTCCAGGTTTTCCATAGTGGTTTAGATTCAATTGACTCATGATTTCAACTATGAAACTACTGAAATCTCCACAAAACCCCTTCTGAATTATATAGTTGATGAAAATTTACTACCCCTTTTATAATGAAAAAAACATACCGAATACTACTAATTTCAAACTGGGGTCAAACTTTAGGTCACAAATAATATTTTTACCAGACATTTATAACACCAATCAAACTAACACTTCAAAGATTAATTACAGTAAATTTGTAATTATTTAGGTCATGTCAACAATGTATAATCATTTTGTCATAAGTTCATTATTTCCTGTAATTTAGTTTTCACACAGAGATTTTATTTATTTATTTTTTTTGTTGAAAATTTGTGGGTTAGCAAAACTTTCTAAAAACAAAAAAAATCATCATCCTCGTCACCACCATCGAAATCATATCATTGGCAGATAATGTAATTCACACTTGTATAGTAACACACCTTTATTTTTGTAGTATGGCAGACATACTTTAGACAATATTTAAAATGTTACATATTTTTGACTATTCATTATCCATAAGGAGAAAGTAAAGAATGAACTGGTTTTACGGATGATAAACAAAAGGAACTTTTTCAATATTTACATGTTATACAACATCAATAATGGTTATTCAATGACTGATAAATGATTAAAGCAAACAGCATACTGATTATACTAATTAAAAGGAAATAAAAAAGAATCTCTTCAAAATTATTAAAATTCGAATGTTCAATCATGGAATTATTATTTTATTTAATGGTTATTATTCAATTTATCAATGTAATACATAACAATCTCCATGGTGAACAATATAAATTTAATTATCCATTACAATCTAATAGGAAAATATTAAAAAAACAAAATAATCTCTATGCAAAACGTAATCATGTTGATCATAATTCTGAAAGATTAAAAAGAAATTTCTTAGTTGATATTAATTCACATAATTCATTATGTCAATCTGGTTCACAATCATTTCAGTGTGCTCCACCATTTAAAGATATATCACGTGGAGTATCTGTTTATTCAACATCTACATGTGGAGAACATCGACCACAAAATTTATGTCGATCTAATACAAATTGTCAATTATGTAGTGTTAATTCAACTAAATGGAAATTTTCATCGGAATATTTAACTGATCGTCATGATGTTGAAAATCAAACTTGTTGGGCATCAGGATATATTCGACCAGGTGAAGCTGTTAATCTTACTATATCGTTGGGAAAACGTTTTGAAGTATACTATATATCTTTACAACCATGTAGTATAGGTAGTATACCACATTCAATAGCAATTTATAAATCATCCGATTTTGGTCGTACATGGCGTCCTTGGCATTATTTTTCAACTGATTGTTATCGAGCTTTTGGACTACCTACCTCAAATGAACATAATAGCCATATAACATCTGCTAATTTACAAGAGGTATTATGTGTTGCTTTACAACCACGTGAAAGTTATTACAGTCATCAAGGTAGAAGAGTTCGTTCAATGAACAGTTATATTTTCAATAAACCAAATATTACTAGAAATTTCGGAGGTATGGGAGTGCCTTCGGATTGGGTTATTGCATTCAGCACAACACTTGGTCGACCAGCAACACGTCCATGGAGTCCAGCATTGATTGATTGGATGACTATGACTGATGTTCGTATAAGCTTAATGAGTTTTCATCAGTCTAACGAACCAGAATATCGTATCAAAAGAAATGCCTATCGAAGTCAACCATCTGATCACTCTAAATTAACACAGAATTCACAAACTATAAACAAACTACCCTTATTTCAATCAAATTACTTTTATGATAATTTTAATAATTATCATTTAAAACGAACACGAAATTTAAGAGATGGTCAGACCATTACAGAATTACCTCAAAAAGAAATGAATCATACTAATAATATAGATAGCCAAACTGATTTGAAGGTCAATACTAGAAAATCTGTAAATGTAACTATAGACCCTGAGATTTTATCTGAAATAGACTTCTATGCATTTGCTGACATAGCCATTGGTGGACGTTGTAAATGTAATGGACATGCAAGTGAATGTATATTAGGATCAAATGGTAAATTAATATGTGCATGTGAACACCATACATCTGGTGAAGATTGTGAATATTGTAAACCTGGTTATATGGATAGACCATGGGACAGAGCTACAACTCAAGATGCAAATGTCTGTAAAAGTGAGTAAAACCTATTTAATAATTATTTTATGAAATATTATGAAATAATTATTTGATTTACTATAAACGAATCGAATCATCCGCCAGGGAGCATCAGTTCCCTCAAGATTACAGGTACACCTTGCTGACGAGTGCCAAGTAGCACGAAACCTGGGTCCAGGGTTTCCTGTTAACCACCTCCAACCACCATCTTACCTCAATTCATTTCCATTGAATTTATTGAATCTTAATGAGCCTAAAGACGATGATCACTATAGATAGAAATTTGTTATTGTTGAGCTTCTTCCTGTTGTTCTTTCTAAATGCCAAACAGTGTTTAACTTGATAAATGTTTTTTCCGTTTTGGTTTTTAAACATTTGATGTCGGTTTTTACTTTCAGACTTCATGTTAAGTCAATAGGCTAAAAAACCTCAAATGTTAGTGAGAATATATTGTGTTTTTTTTTACCTGAGTAGGCATTCTCCAAAATGATTTCTGTTTAGAAGTGACTGTCATCAGCTATATATGCGCTTTGTAATCCTTTTAAATGTCTCCGTAGTTTGTGTGTTATTCGTTAATGAAATTTCCACATTTAAGTTTGAGCCTACTATTCTAAGGAAATAGCTTACTATTCCAGTATTGTATATACGAGTTATTAAGGTACTATAGTAGTCTATATTTTACTAACATACAGGGGTTAGAACCGAACCATTTTTATTGCTAATTTTAAGTTATTTCATTCATGCTAGTAACTAGTTGCTTTTAAACAAATAATTTATCTATAACCTACACTGATTTCTAATAAAGACTAAATAATTTTCATGATACATTCCCCAAAGTTTTCAAAGTATATTTCGTTTAGTAAAAGAAAAGATGGTGACTTTATATTATACACAGTTATAAGCCAATAACCAGAACTATTAGTTATAATTAGTTTTCAAAAATGAAATATCATTATTGGGTGATTTTGCTAAAAGTATATTCTTTACAGTAGAACGACTGGACTCAGAATAAATATCCTACATACTTGAAATTCTAGTTACCATTGGTTGTAACTAATACTGGTCATTCAGAAGCTATCTTTCATATTATATATGAGTAATATGAACCAGTATTTGGACTGCATGATAATTCACTAGATGTGTATATAACTTTTGCATATAAATATATATTTGTCTATATTAACAATTAAGAAATTGCGGATAAACTATAATAATACTGATCATGGAGACATCAGATTTCGTTTTCCATTGAATGTAATTTATGGAAATCAGTATCATAGACATATATAGTTTGTAGATGTTTGTGACTATCAAATATCAACTACTAAATATCAAAATAACCAGTGAAAAAGGTATGAAATGGAACGTTGAAGTGTAAGTTGTGATTCTAGTCAAATATTAAAAGAATGATTACAGTAAGAATAACTATACTGAATCAATAAATATCTTGACAAGTAACGTACTGATTAGACAAGAGAACTCCATTGAAAAATACATATCATAGGGAGTAGTATATTATTTACATTATGTGCATTGATTTGGAGCTATTTCTGATCAGATCGTCAGTCATCAATATTCGGTGACCCGAAGACCCATATTAAGAAGTTTCCATTTAACTTAGGTACTACATATTATTTTAAAGATGTTGTTTTTCTTGATGAGGATAGTTTAGACACATATTCAATGAGTAGCAGAATTATAAAAATGTTACTGTGTTCTGTGAATGATGACAGGAACATCATACCAAGAAAAGGAGTGCGGGAAATTCCGTTTTCCGCCGGTTCATGTAGATTTGTCCAGGTAACAAAAATCAAATTATTTTGTTAGCTACTGAACATAAATCATTTTAAAAATAGGGTTCCTGATTATCATTTGGAACAACTTTTAAAACTATATCTCTGAGTCATTTGGATAGTTTAAGACATTAAATTCTAACCAAAAATCATTCTGAATGATTCTGCTTTCGTGTATTTGTCAAGATAATGAAACAGTATTTTAGTATTCGTTACTTACAATATATTGGAAGTGAGAATTTTATTATCAGCGTTAATAGTCTTCTTCTTCAAAGAAAGATGAGTACCATACCTTTCTGATAGATTTTACGTGCTATTAACATTGAATTATTAAAACTGTTTTTAATGATATCATAAATCAATCTAAGTTAGAAACTCATGGAAAACCTGAAAGCATAGGACACCTCAGTAGGGAGCATTAACGACCCCGCTAATGATGATCAAACCCTTTTGGGCTGGGATCCTATGATAAACGAGTCTAACTTCAACCAACCTCCATTATCCACGCTAAGTATTTCACTTACACCGAGTACTTTATTTTTATGTATCGTAGTACACCTAACGCTTTCAGGTCTTCACCTTCTGTCATATGTTTTACATGGTGGTGCTAGTGATGGCCACGTCTATTGGTTCAGAGAGTTAAACAAGATCATAGGTTGGAAGTCGAACCGCTAGTTTCTCACTTCCAAAATACATATGCATCATGCAAATCAAAGCATAAAATACCTTTATTTTTACTAAAAATGTACCGCCGAAACTAGATACGGTTTTTTATAATCAATTCCATGACCAGACTTGAAAAAATTTCTATTTTACTTCAGCTACAGAAAGTCATTGATAATAATTTTTGTGAATGAGAATGAAGAACCAATTACCAAAATACGATCAATTACTACAACTGATATACACGTCGATACCAAGTAAAGTTAGATTCATTCTTGGTTTCGATGAACGACCGTTTATCGACTAAAAGATCTTTAAAAATATCATTATTAGCGATATCAGAATCAATATTTTTGATTTCTGTTTATAGATTTGACAACAGCATTCAATATAAACAGCATTCTCTCTCTAGATGTGTTACATACTTTTTAGCTTAGCTAACTCAACACCTCAAACACCCAAATTTACTATGAAGTATAATTAACATTTCAAGTGTCGACTGGGTGATTCCACTGAAATTAAAATTAATAAGGTTATCATAAATAAAATATTTAATTTATAAATAGCAATACATAATTGACAGTCATATGTGTAGCGATAATGTCAGATTATGGGAAATTGATTTTATGTCAGACATCATTTTAATTAATCCTTTTTTTGAGGGGAAGGGGATAATTTTTCTCCTAATTTTACGTCAACTAATTATATAATGAGACATTTTCACTGTATGATCTAAGATAATTCACAGTTATAGTTTGAAAATATTTTCCAGCTTTTAAATTGACTGAATATTTTCGATGATTTGAATGTCAGTCAGTCAGTCAACTACAACGTAGGACCAGGCACATATATGCATCGGTTCAAGTTGCCATACCTCATTAGCACAACAAGATCAACACCGGATTCATAGAAATAGTTAATTTAGTGGTGTTTATATATAAAATATAGGTTGTATATAAGGATATAGTATAGGAAGGAAGAAAGCTGTGAAGCAATTTTAATCTCAAGGTTTAAGGGAAGATAAAGAGTGTATACACCTACGCCATTGTGATCTATTCTGAGCCATGTCACCTAGAGTCTCCAACCATTGGTTACGATAGTCACGCGGATCCCAACCAAGTAGTCTGCATCTGCCAACATTACATTTGGTTGACCCCACTGGTATTTTCGTTCACTAAACTTGTAACAACTAATGAGACTAAAACGTTTTAATAACCTTTCGAATGTCTCTTTGAATTTGCAAAGGAAAAATCAATTAATTTAAATCTCATTGATTTGGATTACTATGTTGTTTATAATAGTGACTGAAGTTTCATCAATCTTGTTTGGGATATGTGCATTCTGTGTGGATTACCACGATACCGCCATCATGTCTACTTTAAAGCGAACGATACCGGATTTGAATCCCGAAGTACCGATGAACTCTGATATACAGGCACATTCAGCTTAAGAGCTCCGAATGAGACAGAGTGTGTCCTGGATTCCACTGATGGCTATATTCCATTTCTTCTTTGTAAATCACTTAGCTTTGTGTTACGATATTATTTATTTTCCTTTATCTGCAAGTTATCCTCAGAATATAGTGAGTACTAGAAATGTTAACATTTGTTAAACTAATTACTTGGATTTTAGATAGACATTTCAACATGTCACTGTCTATTAGCATTCCATAGTCAACCCGATATATAGTTCAATAGTATTCAGTCCAAATATCAAAACGATCGTAAGTTTATTTTATTAGTTTTTGTATAACTAATTGATTCAGTCAGTCAGTCACAACGTAGAACTTCGTACGTACGTACATCAGTTCGAGTTGCCATACCACATTAGCACAGAGATGCAGTTGTCGATTCAAATCCCATAGTGGTAGAGGTAGTAAAAGTATAAGCATTATGTGAAAGATTAGGGTTTGAAGATGTTATTGAAGGAGTATAATACAGTGAAATAAATTTGGAAAGAGAAAAAGGATAGGGACATAAGGAATTCAGAGGATTAGAATTTTGGAGAACACAAAGAGTGGATACACCCTTGAAATTGCAAACGATTTTGAGCCATGTCATTCAAGGTCTCTGACCATCAACTAATTGATTGATTCTACAACAAAAAGTGCTTTGGACAGACTAGATTTCATGTGGTCTAGTCACAAATTTTTGTTTGAAGTTAAATGAATTATAAACTTCGGTTTTCAATATTAAATATTTTAGTTGTCTGTTTGCGTTCGATACACAAATTCAAAAGTAAATTTTTCGTTTTCAATGGGTTTTTTTCTATGCACTAACTTCTGTTTAACTGTTATTTACCTTTCTAACTACAGAAGTTATCATTATTACTTTTTTATTTTTGTTCAAAAGATTCATACTCTTCACTGTAACAGAGATGTTAATTAATATGTACCATTTATTTCTTTTAATTTAAATGATTTCATTTGTAATTTCGTTCGATTAATATCGAAATTCCCACTTTTTTGTGTGGTTAAGATGCTTAAATATGTAATGAGATCTTAGCCGATGTGATAATATTGTCCAAATTATTTGTTATATTCAAGGAGACTTTTAGCCAACA